TGAATAGACAGAAGCCAATCAGTGAAACACATCTTTGTCTGGATAAAACACTAGTAAAAAAGCAGTGAACGATACGTACAGGGAAATAGGCATAGTACTGTTCCCACTTAAATAACAGGAGTTCTGATGAGGGGATATTGTCACAAATCCAAGGCTTTGCATAATATTAAGAGAGAGTTTCTTGCAAATAGCAAGTCATCTAATTCCATCCTGCTCTAGTTTCAGAGAACATTTTGGGCAATATCAATTTCATAACTGTTTGTCTCTAATAAAATTAGGCGTTTGTCCGAGTTTTAAATCCTTTAGGAGTGTAGTAACTCTAAGACACATTCACCATAAACTAAATAAACAGTTGTTACCTCTATGCTAGCCATTTCTCCAACCCGTTGCTGATAGGCTAAACCTTTATCCACAAGGAGTATGGAGTAGAAGGCTGCTACCTCTGAAATGCAGTACTTTTCATTATATTTTAATGTGAACATTTCAAAGCAATTGGACATGCATGAACTGCACACTATTTATTAATTAAAATACATTAATGCCAGGTATTTGTGAGACCACTTGCCAGTTCAGATAACAAGGTGGGGTATTTTCTTTCCATTTGATTGATTATAGTTTCGGAGTTTACTGTGGGCTTCTTATCTTTACCTGGAACGATGGGTACCTTGTACCATCACGTATTACATAACAGCCTGTTTCCTTTCACTTTTTTCCAATTGAATACCCATTCATTAATAACCAGATGTGCGCACAGGAGCATTATGCATTACCAATACAGTCTCATTAGTTCAAGTTACTTTGTCCCATTCTCTGGTTACAACATTTCCTTTGGTCTGGGACCTTCCATTCTGTAATTCTATCACAGTTGTCTTGTGCTGACATCACGACACTGGAAAATGGCGTTTGCATCCTGCCCACGTAACGGTGACATAAAGAGCTGAGTCTCTGCTGATGTGGAATTGGACGTCCATACCAAGGGGAACATCAGTATTGACTGGGACCGTAAGGCCCTCCTATTCAAACGAGTGGCAAACAAGATGTCTCAGTCCATCTTAAATCACTGAGGATAGTCATAAAGAGGAACAGCTCTAACCGCCATCTGGGATTTTTATTTGGCCTTTGCAGTGGCACTTGACACCTGTGGGGACAGATCTTTTTCCTAGTTCAACTTTAATTGATTTGCATGGTGAATTGTTTGTCCAATGTTTTTGTCTGTCTTTTATACAATTCTTAGATTAGGAACTAGGTCTCTCAGATAGGAGAGACTGGTACAATAGTGACAGGCTGGCCCACAAATGTGTAAGAGCATGACCATATCACGCCCCCTAGTGCTCCTTCTTTGCCAGTTCGGCATATCGTGTAGAACTTGGGGTTTCTGCAACAGCTTTAATCACCATTAGCAGAATCTGCCTATAATTAACAAGGCAAGCCACCTTAGCATATCAATCATAAGTTGATCCAAGGTGGATCTCTCAAGCCCAGATCAAGGGTCCATAAGTGGGATTACTCTGGTCAGAAGTTACACGTCCATAAGGATTTTAAGTCCACCCATTTGTATGACTGAAATTGTAGAGCCAGGTTTTCCCATCCTTCCTTGTGTTTGAGTAGCCCCTTACTCACCTTGCTTTCGGTGGTGCTACTCACTGCAAGTCTGGCCCTTACTCAGACTGCCTAGCATTTGTTTGAGCGAGTAGGTGTGATGTCTGACATCTTGGCCAACAATGGGGATTGAACGGGTGACCTTCAGAGCTAAAAGGGTGAGTCTCTGCAACTTCAGATAAAAAAGACGCATTCTGTACTGGGGGCTGTAAAAGACTCACATTCCCTATGGAGGGGGCACAGGGCATATGAAAAAGATTCCTTAAAGCTCTCCAGGGTTATTAGTCTCTGCCTGCTATACCATCAGGGGATTCATGAAATTTAAATAACCTTTGCATGAAGGCAGATTTAACCTGTAGGTATAATACAGAGTAAAAGGACAGCATGGAACTACTTTGCCCCAGGAAGAAACTGCAGTTCAGTGTCACAGTCTTTCCCCGGCTCCCTAAGAAATTACTGCAGCCCTTGAAAGGGTGCTGTGTACTCTGACCAGAGTGTGGGGGAGAAGGAGATGAAGCCAAAGCTCTGCCTGCTTGCTTGTGGAGGAATTATCTGAAGAGCAGGGGCTGTGTTCTGTAGAATAAGCAAGGAGATGAATGTATACCTCACCACTTTTACTCTCCTGCATTGATCCTCAAAGGTATTTAGGCACCTAACCCCCACTGATTTGATTTGAAACCAATGGGAGTTAGGTGCCTAAATACCTCTGAGGATCTGGATCAAGGCAACCAGAGATCTAGAGAAGCACAATATGGGACAGATTCTGCCACTTTTATGCATGAGGAATAGCACTTTAATTCAAGTGAGATTACTCTCCAAGTATGGCCCTACTCACGATGAGTATGGGTGGTAGAAACTGGCCTGCATTGTCATGGGTTCTTTCTGCCATCCTTATTCCCAATGAGGGGTAGTTTCTACTATGGCTAGCCCCAATTAAATCACTGGGGGCACTCGCAGAATTGGGCCCTAAACTACCACAGTTTGGGATTGTAATAGAGCCACATCCTCTGTCTCAGAGAGCAGGAGTCTGAAGCTTGTCAGCGTTTCCTTTCGTCATGAAGAAAGTGTCAGCTGAGGGTTGTGGCATCCTGTGTTTGCCCGCTTGGGGTCACACAAAGGTTTAATTGACATTTGTCCAGGCTAATCAGATTAGAAGAGATCCCTGGGGCCTAGAAAGCAGTCAAATCAGTGCTACTTCTTAAGAGACTTAAAATAGGCAATGATATTAGAGAGCAGTTGGTCTGATAGTTGCAGGTAGGGTGACCAGACAGCAAATGTGAAAAATTGGGATGGGGATGGGGGTGGGGACGGGGGTGGGGGAGGGGGTAATCGGTGCCTATATAAGACAAAGCCCCAAATATTGGGACTGTCCCTATAAAATCGGGACATCTGGTTACCCTAGTTGCAGGACATTGTTTTATGACAGAAAATGGGCACGCATCAATACTTCCGAGGGCAGTGAAGGCCATGATAGGTGACTGGAGGAGGGACTCTCCATGCAGATACCTTAGCAGAATTCTTCCCATGTGGCCCAGTCGGGACAGGGCTTTGTTGCCCCTCAGAATAGGCCGTTGTGCCCACGGTCTCACTGGAGGCCAGCAATCTGTACAGAAGCCCTGTGTTGCGGCACCAGCATTAACCCTTGATGGCATCCCTGTCCCAGAACCCTGACAGTGCAGCCCTATCCAGGGCTGCCTCCAGGGTGGATCATATAGTCTTCCTAAAATCTGCTGGGAAGGAGGAGAGAAATAAGGTGTGTGTGTGTGGTGTTTAGATGCTGCTTGTAATTATTAGAACTGGGAGCACGGGCTGTTGGGAGTCTGAAAGGACAGGAAGGAGTGGGGGGGGGAGGGGGGTTGAGGAGGCTGAGTGAGAGCTACCGAGGGTGCAGCAGCAGCTTGTTAAAGAGGTTTCCACTTTAAAAATAAAGTCTTGTTCAAGTTTATTAGTACCTCGCCTGGTTGTTACAACATTCTGGCGACGAGGATGGATCTTCTGCCTCTGAACCCACCTGCACCCTTTCTGCAAAGCCCAGGTGAGCCTCCAATTGCTTTTACTGCCTAGTTCCATATGTTTGAGACTTATCTGCTTGCAATCAGTGCTACAGAGATTTCTGAAGTAAGAAAGCATGCTCTGCTAATCCACTGCCTTGGAGCAGAAGGGCAGCATATATTTTACACTTTTCCCCTTGCAGATGATAAGTATGAGACTGCACTCACTGCATTAAAGAACTTTTTTGTGCCAAAAGTGAATGTAGTAGCTAATTGCTACAGATTTTGCCTGCGTGAGCAGAAAACAGGGGAGACTGTAATGCAGTTTATTGCTTCCCTGAGGAGTCTGATTGTAACTTTTGGCTTTGGGAATATGGCAGATGAGATAATTAGAGACCAGCTCATTGAGAAAACAACCATGCTTTGTGTAAGAGAACGCTTACTTTTACTTACTACTTAGCGCAACTTACACTAGAAAAAGCAATAACCATTGCTACTCAGATTGAGTCAGCTACAGCTGAAGCCAAAATAATGAGCAAGGATACAGGAGGCACAGTTCAGTCTGTGACTCCTTTCCAGAAAAGTTCACTATCGCTGCAGACAAATGATTCCAAGAGAAAAACAGTTGAACAGAACCAAGCAAAGTCTAAGGCTTTCAGAGACGAGCGACGGGGTGCTAAGGAACCAAAGTTTGAGTGTGGTTCCTTCATTAGAATACGAAAATCTGGAATTTTACATAAAGGGGACCATAAATTCACAGCTCCTCTTAAAATCATAGAGAAGAAGGGACCTTACTGCTATCGACTTTCTGATGGGCGGGTATGGAATGTTTCTTATCTTGCATGTGCCTATGCACCAAGAGGAGATTATGCCAACACCCAGTCTGCATTGGATGACTTCACCGTAGTAGCAACACAACAAGACATTGCACTGGAACCGGGGCCGGGTCTTGAGAGATGGCCTGTCACTCAAGATGACCACCTGTCTGGACTAGAGACACTGAAAACACTGTAGATACTACATAACATAGTAATATTTCTGCCAACAGTATAGTGTCTTGTTTCATATTTGTTCCTGTGGTTAGAACAACAATGTTTATTTTAATTGGGAGAGTTTCTTAAGGGAGGAGGGAATGTGGTGTTAAGATGCTGTTTTCAATTATTAGAACTGGGAGCACTGGCTGCTGGGAGTCTGAAAGGACAGGAAGCGGGGGGGGGGGGTAGTTGAGGAGGCGGAGTGACAGCCACCGAAGGTGCAGCAGCAGCTTGGAAAAGAGATTTCCACTTTTTAAAAATAAAGTCCTGTTGAAGTTTGTTAGTACCTTGCCTGGTTGTTACAACAGTGTGTACAACACTTGACTCATCCACCCTTCTTCCGAGCCAGCTCAGTCTCTTCTCTTTCCCACTGTAGGGGTCTCAAAACACCACTGCAGAGAACTCAAGGATTTGGGGCAAGATTTTTCAGAAGAGCTCATGTCATATTTAGGCTCCTCGGTATGTGTCTAGATTGTTGAAAGTGCAAAGCCTGTTGGGTGTTGAACTCTTTGGAAACTCTCTCACTATCAACATTTATTTTCATTTTCCATCACATTGCCCACACAGCTTGTTTGGGTGTGTCTGAAGTTCTAGCAGTCCTCTCTGGCCCTAGCTAACCTAAACATAGGACCAAGTACAGAACCTTAAGAACCCACTGTTAACCTTCTGCCATGATTAAAATTGGCCATTTAATCCTAGTCTTTAACTTTTCTCCTGGCCAGGTTTTCATCCATGTCAATACTTTGTCTCTCACATGAGGACAACTTAGCTCCTTCAGTAGCCTCTTGTGTGGGACCTTGTTTAAGACCTGCTGGAAATTTAAATATATTGTTTACTGATTCTCCTTTACCCACAATGCTATTTACACCTTCAAAGAATTCTAAGATTAGTAAAACACAATTTTACTTTGCAAAAAATATGCTAGCTAGTCCCACCCTGTTGTTATTACTATGTTAAGTGATGCTGAGGCAATGACATGTAGAATTCTATTACACTCCCCTTCTTCATACACCTTTGTTGTATCACAGGACAGAGTTCTGTCTTTTCAGGACGTTTTTTAGAAAGCATTACACAGAGTTAAACCTCAGGGCTATTGTGACAGAGATGGCAATTTTCTGCAATATCCTTGAAAAACCTTGTTGAATTAAAAGTTTAAATAACAGTCCAATGTTATTAAAAATGCAAAGTTTGATGCATTATTGTGGAATTGTATGGAATGTCTGGGTGGGGGGGGGGGAGAGATGTGATCAGTATAAACCCTGATAAGTGTTATGAGCTTCAGAGGACTATTTGAAACAACATGCCAGACATGAATAAATTTATGGGACAAAGTTAGGTGGGCTTCCCAGGAAATCTCTAGGGGGCAGTGTATGCAAATGTACCCTTCTCTGATTATGCAGGAACGTAACCTTCTGAGGCTTCGCCCTGAGGAGGGGACTTTTGTCTGCTGATTACCTTTTCCCTGGATCCCAAGATCAAAGACCAAACTGTATAAAGGAGTGACTCACAGACCTCTAGGTGCTCTTGTTCTGAGCAAAAGTTATCAACTTTTGACCACAGAAAACTCCTTGCTTTGAAGGACTGACTTCTACCAGAGCCCTTGTTGGAGTATGGGTGATCTCTGGTAAGCTTATGGGTTCTTTTATTGTTTTTAATATGTTTCCTCTGTAATGCTTTCCTCTTAGGAATAAATGTGCTTGCTTAGAAAGGGCGGTGTGGTAACTTAACTGTGGGCAGTCATACTGTTTATGGCCTGTGAGGAGAAAGAAAAAGCAGACCTGGTTAGGCAGTCTGACTTACTTGGAAATTCACAGAGTAGGCATTTGAACCAACAATATACAGGTGAAAGCCTTTGAAATCTCTCATGGTGCCTTGGCTGTATCTGATATTGCTTTGTAGTGATTGGCCCAGAGACAGAATAAAGAAACTACTGCTAGGAATTGCTAAAAAGGGTCCCCGTTAGCTCAAGTGCAGATGGGTCTATTCTAGCAATTAAAGGTTCTAATCCTGACTCCCTCATGCATATGACTATGCAGTAATAGTGCCTGTTGATTACAGCATGTGGATTTATTTCATTGTTACAAATTCCCTGAATCATCCACTCCTCCTTTGTAGTTCAATTTTATTTCAGTTTTACAGGTAGCATTTGATTTTAAAAAAATCACATAATTTATGTCCTAAGGTACAGTTTCCTGTCAAAATATTCGTAGTTGGTTATGTATGGGATATGACTGAAAAAAAAGCTAGGCATGCCTGGGCCTTTGTTATAAATACGTGTCTAGAAAAGTTGCTAATTTTCAGTCTTCAGCTTATTATTGTTTTCACATAGAGTACTTGGAGAATTTCCAAATGCATACATGAAATTTAATCTGTCAGGAACTGCAAATAATGGGAAATTTCTTTAGCAATCAATATTTTATTTCACACAGGTTTACCTTGCACTCAGATAATTGGCCAATCCACAGATTAATTTAGCAACACTATAATATGGATGGTATTATCTGAAATCCATTAAATTTTACATGAGAGCAAAGAAATCAAATAATTATGAAAACTGGAAATTCAATATATTTTCAAATATATGAATATTAATAAAATATGTGTTCATTGTATCTTTTCAGCTCTTTCATTTCCGATGAGGATGTTTCTGACAGTAAACCGCCACCCAGAAACATACAGTTTTGATGTGCTATTACTAGTTATTAAATATTAATGACAGTTAATTTTATTGTGTCTATGAGGAAGTGCCCATTGTTCTGGCTGAACAGGGAATAGATTCTTTGAAATATATTCTATTGTAATCAAAGGTTCCTTATCATAGCTTTTACAGTCCATTCTCCCTTTGCACTTCTTTCATTCACTTCTTTCTTTCACTGCACCCAACCCACACTTGTTGCATAACTACTCAGGAGATTCAGGCTTCTGCAAGGATTTACAGTCCTTCAGGGCTGCCTCCAAATCTCAAGTCTTGTAGCAGAGTGCCATGGACACTGTTGGCACAGCCAGGAACAGGATGTTTAATAGAGAAATGAGGCCTAGATTCATAGAGCCCAAGGACAGAAAAGACCATTGTGATCATGTAGTCAGACCTACTGTATAGAACAGGTCATAGAACTTCCCCACAATAATTCGTGGAGCAGATCTTTTAGAAGAACATCCAATCTTGATTTATAAATTGTCATCGATGGAGAATCCACCATGACCATTGGTAAGTTGTTCCAGTGGTTAATTACTCCCATTGTTAAAAATTTACTCTTTATTTCCAGTCTGAATAGCTTCAACTTCCAGTCATTGAGTCATGTTATACTTTTCTGTGCTAGATTGAAGAACCCATTATTAAAATATTTGTTCCCCACGTGTATACTTATCAGCTGTAATCAGGTCACCTCTTAACCTTCTCTTTGTTAAGCTAAATAACGATAGACTCAAGGATGTTTTATAACTCTTTAATCATTCTCGTGGCTTTTATTTGAACCATTTCCAGTTTATCAACATCTTTCTTGAATTGTGGACACCAGAACTGGACACAGTATTCCAGCAGAGGTCTCACCAGTTCCAAATACAGAGGTAAAATAACCTCTCTAATCCTACTCAAGATTCCCTGGTTTATGCATCCCAGGATAGTATCATTCATTTTGGCCACAGTGTTGCACTGATCATCAGCTGATTATCTACCCATGACCCCCAAATCTTTTTCAAAGTCACTGCTTCCCAGAATAGACTCCCACATCCTGTAAGTATGGCCTAGATTCTTTATTCCAAGAAGTATACATTTACATTTAGCCATATTAAAATGCACATTATTTGCTTGTGCCCAGCTTACCGAGTGATCCAGATTGTTCTGTATCCGTGGCGTGTTCTCTTAATTATTTACAACTCCCCAGTTTGTGTGCCATCTGCAAACTTTACTGTTGCTGAGCTTATATTTTCTTCAAAGTCATTAATTCAAATGTTAAACAGTGTAGTGCCAAGAACCAATCCCTGTGGGACCTCACTAGAATCACACCTGTTTGAAAGGGATTCCCTATTAACAATTATGTTTTGAGACCTATCTGTCAGCCACTTTTTAATGTGTGACATGTTAATTTAATATAAGAACATAAGAATGGCCATAGTGGGTCAGACCAAAGGTCCATCCAGCCCAGTATCCTGTCTGCCGACAGTGGCCAATGCCAGGTGCCCTAGGGGGAATGAACCTAACAGGTAATGATCAAGTGATCTCTCCTGCCATCCATCTCCACCCTCTGACAAACAGGGGATGAGGACACCATTCCTTACCCATCCTGGCTAATAGCCATTAATGGACTTAACCTCCATGAATTTATCCTGTTCTCTTTTAAACCCTGTTATAGTTCTAGCCTTCACAACCTCCTCAGGCAAGGAGTTCCACAGGTTGACTCTGAACTGAGTGAAGAAGAACATCCTTTTATTTGTTTTAAACCTGCTACCCATTAATTTCATTTGGTGGCCCCTAGTTCTTATATTATGGGAATAAGTAAATAACTTTTCCGTATTCACTTTCTCCACACCACTCATGATTTTATATACCTCTATCATATCACCCCTTAGTCTCCTCTTTTCCAAGCTGAAAAGTCCTAGCGTCTTTAATCTCTCTTCATATGGGACCCATTCCAAACCCCTAATCATTTTAGTTGCCCTTTTCGGAACCTTTTCTAAAGCCAGTATATCTTTTTTGAGATGAGGGGACCACATCTGTATGCAGTATTCAAGATGTGAGCATACCATGGATCTATATAAGGGCAATAAGATATTCTCTGTTTTATTCTCTATACTTTTTTAATGATTCCTAACATCCCGATTGCTTTTTTGACTGCCGCTGCACAGTGTATGGACGTCTTCAGAGAACTATCCACAATGACTCCAAGATCTTTCTCCTGATTAGTTGTAGCTAAGTTAGCCCCCATCATATTGTATGTATAGTTGGGGTTATTTTTGCCAATGTGCATTACTTTACATTTATCCACATTAAATTTCATTTGCCATTTTGTTGCCCAATCACTTAGTTTTGTGAGATCTTTTTGAAGTTCTTCCCAGTCTGCTTTGGTCTTAACTATCTTCAGCAGTTTAGTATCGTCTGTTAACTTTGCCACCTCGCTCTTTACCCCTTTCTCCAGATCATTTATGAATAAGTTGAATAGGATTGGTCCTAGGACTGACCCTTGGGGAACACCACTAGTTACCCCTCTCCATTCTGAAAGTTTTCCATTTATTCCTACCCTTTGTTCCCTGTCTTTTAACCAGTTCTCAATCGATGAAAGGATCTTTCCTCTTATCCCATGACAACTTAATTTACGTAAGAGACTTTGGTGAGGGACTTTCTGGGAATCTAAGTATACTATGTCCACTGGATCCCCCTTGTCCGCATGTTTGACCCCCACAAAGAACTCTAATAGATTAGTAAGACACAATCTCCCTTTACAGAAACCATGTTGACTTTTGTGCAACAATTTATGTTCTTCTATGTGTCTGACAATTTTATTCTTTACTATTGTTTCAACTAATTTGCCCGGTACTGACATTGCCAGGATCAATTCTAGAGCCCTTCTTAATTATTGGCATTACATTAGCTATCTTCTAGTCATTGGGTACAGTATCTGATTTAAAGGACAGGTTACAAACTAAAGTTCATAATTCCGCAATTTCACATTTGAGTTCTTTCAGAACTCTTGGGTGAATGCCATCTGGTCTTGGTGACTTGTTACTGTTAAGTTTCTCAATTCCAAAACTTCCTCTAGTGACACTTCAATCTGTGACAATTCCTCAGATTTGTCACCTACAAAAGACAGCTCAGGTTTGGGAATCTTCCTAACATCCTCAGCCATGAAGACTGATGCAAATAATTCATTTAGTTTCTCCGCGATGACTTTATCGTCTTTTAAGTGCTCCCTGTGTATCTCGATCGTCCAGGGGCCCCACTGGTTGTTTAGCAGGCTTCCTGCTTCTGATGTACTTAAAGAACTTTTTGTTACCTTTTGAGTTTTTGGCTAGCTGTTCTTCACACTCCTTTTTTGCTTTTCTTATTACATTTTTACATTTAATTTCAGTGTTTATGCTCTTTTCTATTTACCTCACTAGGATTTGACTTCCACTTTTTAAAAGATGCCTTTTTATCTTTTCACTGCTTCTTTTACATGGTTGTTAAGCCACGGTGGCTCTTTTTTAGTTCTTTTACTGTGTTTTTTAATTTGGGATATACATTTAAGTTGAGCCTCTATTATGGTGTCTTTGAAAAGTGTCCATGCAGCTTGCAGGGAATTCAGTCTAGTCACTGTACCTTTTAATTTCTGTTTAACTAACCTCCTCATTTTTGCATAGTTCCCCTTTCTGAAATTAAATGCCACAGTGTTGGGGCTGTTGAGGTGTTCTTTCCATCACAGGAATGTTAAATGTTATTATATTATGGTCACCATTTCCAAGAGGTCCTGTTACAGTTACTTCTTGGACCAGATCCTGCACTTCACTCAGGACTAGATCGAGAGCTGCCTCTCCCCTTGTGGGTTCCTGTACCAGCTGCTCCAAGAAGCAGTCATTTAAAGTATTGAGAAATTTTGTCTCTGCATTTCATCCTGAGGTGACATGTACCCAGT